TTTTCAGTGTTGCTGTCATTTCAGAGGGCATCATTTGTCACTAGAAATTGCTAGGTGATGTCTCTGATTTGCATATCCAGATGACACATTTACATGTATATGATCAGTGCACCATGCAAATTCATCAACACTGAGGAGGTTTTTTTTTTTTAGCAGTTCAATTGAGTATGCTTTTTTTGTCATCAGTAGTGCTTGCATCACTTTTATTATTGATCAGACTCTGTGTTAGTGAGACCTTTAACTCTTTGTCACATAACGTTTGTGCAGATGTATGTCAAAGACATAAATATAAAGACATAAATGATTCATTGAGAGGGTCATAGAGGCTCTTTTGACTCGGTCTAGTAACTGCAGAGCAACCTCCTGAGGTTTGCAGTGTGCATTTCTGTATTTTAAAGAGCACTATAACCAAGCCCATCTCAACTTTTTGTCATCCCTAGAGGATGAGGCATCAAGACAGGGAGAAGGAGAGAGATAAAGAAGTATGGAAGCATAATTTGTGATGAACAGATCTTTTGAGGGAAGGGAGTTCACTCAGTAAGCTCAAAGCTAGAGTCTGCACTTTCAGACATGGAGAAATCTTAATCATCAATATTATTTTCCAGAAATCATGAGTCAAGGAAATCTAGCACTATAAATCACACTGCATCCATAAGCGCAAACCCAAAGGAAATTTTTTTTTTTTTTGCTTAGATGTTGCTCTGGAGTCTTAAAGATGGCTTGAAATCCAGCTTTTAGTCCATTTATTTTAGCTTTGAGATCATCTTCATGCTATTGTACTCTGAAAAGTTGGCAAAAGTTCATTTATAGCAGATACACAATTACACAATTTAAATTAAAAAAAAAATTTCTCTTCTGGGAAAATGAGCCAGACATATTGATGACTCTTGAAAGAAGATTAAAAGATTCAAGTACAGTTTTTAGAGTGGTATATGAGTTGAAGAAACTTGACTATTGTTGTCAGACTTTAGTGATATTTTGAATGTTATTGAAGCTTAAACTTTTGTTAAAGTTATAGATATTGGCCTGTCTTCACTGAAACAGACAGCAGCTCTACGTCTTTTTACCTTGCCTTAAATGCATTGTTTAATGTTATTGTAGTGATTTTATTATAAAGTTTTGTGTCTGACGTGGTGGCCCTGTAGTACACAACACAACAAAATTTAAATCGCAAACATAATTTAACAACACAGCGGAAGATACAGAAATGCTTCTTTCTCAACCACTACTGAGGGTGCATTAAAGCTAACATTTCAGGCTTCATACTAGTGGTAATGGTTTAACATAATTTAAGTTTTTAAAAATGTTTAAGATACCAATCTTTTTATAATGAACCCTTAAACGTATTGCGTTTGAAATGAGCTAAGTCATTTAGGCTATATATGCAAAGTTCATGTGTCCATAAAAAAAGATTGGTACAGTAAAAACTGTTCTAAATTTGGATTTTGTTAGAACATTATCTCTAGTATGAAGGCTAAAATGTTAGCATTAATGCACCCTCAATGAATGAATCAATACATAAATTAATGCATGAACTCATAAACTAATGAATGAATGCATGCATGAATGAATGCATAAACACTAAACCTAATGAATGAACGAATGAACGAATTCATGAATGCACAAATGCATGGACAAAATCATAAATGGATGCATGAATGCATGAACTCATAAACTAATGAAAGAATGCTAGATTGCATGAACAAACACATGAGTGTAAGAATGAAAGCATGAATGCATAAGCAAATAAATGAATGCATGAACACAAGCAAATGAATGAATGCATGAACGCATGCGTGCACACTCGAATGCATGCATGAACAAATATATGCATGCACGATCAAATTAATGAACGAATTTATAAACACAAACAAATGAATAAATGCATGAATGAAAACATGAATTCATGAACGCATGAATGAATGAATGAATGCATGAACTCAAAAGCAAATGAATAAATGCATGAACTAATGCATGCGTGCACAAATATATGTATGCATGATCAAATTAATTAATGTGTGAATGAAAGAAAGAATGAATGCATGAACAAATGAATGAATGCATGCATGAACGAGCAGATTAAAGAAACTTGTCAAGCCTACTGTGCATTTCATATGAGGAGCACTATTTGTATGACACAGAGTTTCTGCCTATTAGGGCGCTCCAAATCAGTCACATCAGTTAGCATGCTGCCTTAAAAGGAAGCTGCCTATGTAGACAGCAAAGCAGCTTGATAGCATTTGGAACAGAACCTGTGTGTGTTCCTGGCTTTGTCAGACTGTATTGTCATGAGATTAAGCTTCAATGGGAAATCCATCTCTCTTAATTGATTCCCGAGGCTTTACCTCAGTGTGAGTGCTGGAAACATGCATTATTGTGCGATTAGCTCTTCATAGTACGGGAATAATGATCCTGTTTATCCCAACTGGAAAAAAAGGAAGGGAGATAAAAGAGTTGAGGGAATTTCATCCAGTGCTGAACGTGTGTGTGTGTGTGTGTTTGTGTGACAGGAGGGATATCGCACAGGTTTACATTTTTCTCTGGCTTTATGATACGTGTGTGTGTGTCCGTCCCTCAGGGCTTCATTATGGTTGAATGGGAGCTTGAGCTCACGGTCCCTCGATTATAACAAACATACAAACCAGCTGACTCTAATAAATACATCACACACCTACAAAAACACACTCACATCTAGGCAAGTGTAACCCTAACTATGATAAATAGTAATAATGATGCTTGATTTAGCAAGCAATGATAATTAAGACCGAAACAATCTGTTTCTTTTGCACAGAGTGGATGCTCATAGGTTTCTGCTGGCCGTTGAATGTTTTGATCTGCTGTAGGATATTGATGCAACTCTTAAATCATTCTTATGGTCTCCTGGTGAATTTCTGTCTGTTTCTGCCCCGCAGAAGACTCATAACTCAGATGTGGCTCTGCGCACGATTTATAATATTTTAAATGGGTCATGCAAAATTGATTTTCTTGAGTAGAGTTTTAACCCTGTGAAGTCTACTGTATAATATTTGATACACAAATAGGGCCTCTAAATGATCACCATGATCAAAACATTGCTGATAAACCTGTTGCACTCAATCTACTACATGTCTTCTGTTGTCTGATTGATATTTAGGCTTTTTAGCAAGTAAAAGGCTTTTAGTTTAATTGTACAAACGTCCACCTTCAGCTCGTGCTTCACATGTCTTTTTGCTGTGAAATCGTTGCTGATTTTTATCAAGTAAACATAAGAATAACTTTTATGTTGTTAGTAATATTTAAAGTTGAACACTTACTGGACTGAAGCAGCTTAGCTTTGCTTGATCATTTTTTTTTAGAACAATCAGTGAGTATCAAATATGATCATCAGGCTTTTGAGGAACATTTATTTGTTCATCTTTCAATCATTGTCTGGCATTGCATCATATGTTTTGATCATAAACTAAGCATTTGAATATCATCTTACTAAGACATATTATTGGAGATATAGAGTGACGACTGATATATATATAATTTTATGTAAGTATTTGCTGTATTTTTATAAAGATCTCATTGATTTACATTTCAAGCATCAGAATTTCATCACTTTTTGTTCATATAAATATCAGCATCTGTACCAAATTGCTTATTTTTGCTCACTTTGTTTCTCTGAATAAAATTGAGCTGTTTTTCTTCACATTCTTACTATATCATACTATATGAGCCATAAACACCTGATGTATCAAATGATACTCAACAAATATTTTTTTACATATTTTATCTAAAGGATTAACTAACTGTTCCAATTAAAAAACTATATATGTAGAGTTAATTTGCAAAAACCGTTAACTCCATTTTTATTTTTTTTCTTCAGAAATCACGTTTTTTTTATTGCGCATTCCAAGTAATATCAATCAAACTGCAGTTGGGTTGTTTTGATTAAGTAATAACTTAAACAAATACAGGTAATTTACAAAATTAAAGTTCATTTAAAGTATGTTTTTTTTTAAACATATTAAACGTTTGTTTTATAGCAAAAGTAGATAGCTCCAACCGTCGTTTTTTGGCAAAGGCAGATAACTCCACATTTCATGTTTTAGAGTTTAAAAAAAAACACTCGTTTAATCTTTGTAATCTCATCAGATGACAATGTAGATGCCTGACAAATGTTGTTTTTGTTGTGATCATAAACTGTATGGGTGTGATTACACGCGATACATGGAGCTTTTCCCTCACCATTGTAACGCGCTGCTTTTGCAAGGTTCCGTGAAAACGTTTCAGCTTTTATTTTCCTTTTTCGCCCTGAAGAAGATATCACAGGTTCATCAGGTTTGTCGAAATGATCCATCCTCGATCAGACCACCAAAGGTGAGACAGACAGGAACTAATATATGGTGGATAATCAGTGGTAGACAGGTGAGCACAATCAGGGTAATTAACTAATGATAGTACAGGCTAAACCAACAAAAGGGGAAGAAACCACAACAAACAGTCCACAGGGGTGTTACAGTATTTCAGACTGTTATTTCATTTGTCAGGCTTTACAGGGCTAAATACTATGTAGACCAAGTCTGACATTCACAGTACAAAACTCTGATGGAGCAAATTCTGGTCTATATTTTTAATAGTTGATCTATATAAAAAAATCACATGCGATGGCGCCGCAGACGGCAGCCTCAGTGTTTGGCTCTCCAGTGTTTGTACTGTTTTTGTTAGTTTTTCCTGTTTTTTGTTTCTCAAACACGATCAGTTTTCCCAAACTTTATTTTATTTTATTTTATTCTATTCCTATTCTATCTATAGCACACCTGTACATACAATTTATTCTTTTTTTGTGGTTTATATTTATGCATGTGTATTTTATTCACATCTCATTTTTATTATCTGTGTGTTGTTGTTGTCTCCATGTACTGGAAGCTTGTGACACTATAACAAATTCCTTGTATGTGCAAACATACTTGGCAATAAAGCTCTTTCTGATTCTGATTCTGATTCTGATAGTATGTACAGTACATATGCATCAGATGGATGTCTCATCTCTCTGCATGAGTGTTGCATTTTTAACATGGCTTTTAGACTCCTGTGTTCTGCTCTATTTAGTCACCGTCGACCTGTTTTTAGCACAGTGTGTCCTGTGTGACACCTGCTAATGCACTCTGTGCAGTGTTGAGTGCTGTTGCTGAAAGTCTGAAGAGTCACAGTGTAAAGTGAGGTTTTGTCAGCCTCTAACCGACATAACAGCAAAAACACCACTCCAAAAAAAAATCACAAAATTAAAAAAGGCTCCAATTTGGCATGTTTGCATGTGGTTGTTGCTGGGCTTTGATTAGTGTGAAATGCTTGATGTTGATAAAAATCATGCAATTAATGTGTTTTCATGTGTGCACCACTTCTGACTACTTTATGGTACCGTTTTCATTGTTAATGTGAAGGTTAGCCATTCACAACAGAGGTCATTTGCATATAGTACAGTAGCAAAATCAGCCTGTTTAATTGTAAGGCTTAGACATGGAGGAAAAAGGACATAAATGGCAAACATACGACATGATAGACATAAGTGGACTGCTGTGGTGATGTTTACCTGTATATGATGCAGGCTGTTTTCTGGCAGGTTGAGCAGTTGTTGATGTCCTGACCTGTTCTGTAAGAACAACGCCTGAAAAAACAAGAAAGTATGAAGGCACACACACACACACACACACTTGAACACATGTGAAACACGCACACCGAGCATTGAATTAGAGGTCTGTTCTTTTCCATCCAACTTCCACCCACAATGATTTTCTTCCTACACACGTCTGCATTTTTATTTGTTATTTCCAGGTATTACAAAAGAAGTGTCTTCTTTTCAATAATATCACAGATTCTTCATTGTAGCCTGTGCTTTTGTTGTTATAGATTTTGTTTTTAAGCTTCAGTCCAGTTTGTGTACATTTATATTTATATTACGAATTTTATCTTTGAATGAATTGAAAGTGCTGGAAATGTTGTTCCAGACCTATTTTGTAATGCAAAAACGCCCGAAACCCAGTCTGCATATAGAAACTTGGGTAGAGTTTTTCTACATCTCAGAAATGTAGTCCTGTGTCACAACAAATAAAATCAAGGCCAGCGGGAATCCCACAGGCATACAGACCTCTATTGAATGTCCTTGAATATGCAATGAAAATGAACACTTTAAAACATACAACACAGTCACTTTCCTGATCGATCCTGACAGATCTGAGCTTTCAATCAAAGCAGAGTTCTGATGAAACCATGTGCGTGTGGATGGAGGAGAAAAAAGAGAGGGAAACTCTTAAGAGATTAAGAGAAAGGGTGTAAATGCATTAGGAGGTGTAGCAGTGAAGATGAGACATCAGATGAGAGAGAGAGAGAGTTTGGGAGCGGTAGGGGGTCTATGTCCCATTGATGATCAAGATTCCCGAGGCTTTGTCGCAGGATGCATCAGTTACCAGGGGAATTATGGGATGATGGAAGTGTGGAATCACAAATCAAACACGCTTTCATGAACTCCAGAGCCTTAATCTCTCTCTCTCTCACTCACCCTTCACTCATTGCTTTGTTCCTCTCCAGGTCCTGAATGACATTGAGAAGGACTTTGATCTTTTCCTGATTATACAGCAGGTTTTCTTCTACATTCTGCAGCAGTCCGTGTAGAACGCCAGGTGCACCGTTGCATTGTGGGATATCGTCTGTTGGAGGTGGATGAGTGTCTTTAGAGTCCGTTTCCGTATCAGTTTTAAGTTCTGGTGGAGGGGGGGGTGGGGGTTGTGGATTAGGCCCGGTCGCTGAGCCAATCAGAAGCTCTGGAGGTGCTGGTTTACATTTGACTTGTATTGATTTCAAGTCTTGCTTGGGTGGAGGAGTGGGTGTGGTTTGGGACTCACAGCCAATCGGTTTAGACGTGGCGGATTTGTGCGTTTGCGTGTTCGCACACTTGTCCTTTGTGTCTTGCGATGCGTGTTGTGCGGTTGATTCTGTTTTGACTCGTGTTTGCGTATGTTGCGTTTTGTGCGTCGTCAAGTCGTTTTTGGGCTTTTCAGACTGCGTAAATTCTTCAGTTTTTGCATCTTTTTTGTTGGATTGTACGGGGGTGGAGCATGCGTTTGGCGTTGTGTGATTGGGAATTTGCGCGTACGTTGGCTGTGCAACCGTGGAGTTTTGTTTCTGCAATCGAGGCGAACAGCTTTTCCTCGGCGGCGTCGGAAGCGTCATGCTCGCTTGAACCTGACTGGCTGCTCGTTTGCGACAAGCAGGTGCCATGCAGGGTGGTGCTTGAGACTGCCTCCGCCCACAGCTGGCGCACAGTCTGGGTGATGATGTCATCATGCGACATGGGCGAGGGGGCGTGGTGTACGAGCTGGCGGCCGGCCTGGATGCCTCCCCTTTCAGCGACTGACCCCGCCTACATTCACGTGTCATTGTTTGACTCTGCCGTCTCGCTTCCTCTGACTCCGCCCCTTCGCTGCAAACTCCACCCACCACCTCAGGAGCAACAATACTTCCGTTAACATACCGGGGGGTTCTTTTTAAACTCCCTCTTGGCCCGGATTGGTTTGGATTGGCTTTGATTTGACTGTACACCTCGCTCTCCTGGGACGTCCTGTCCTGTGCTACATGGTTCCTGGACGCCGCCTTGACAACGTGCCTTCCGTTAACTTCACAACGCCTCGCCCGATCCAGCGACATGGTTTCGGCAGTTGGTCCGTTGGCTGTACTGACCGTTTGAGTCTTCTTCTTCAATGACGGAAGTGAGCGGAGGCCCGGCGACGTTTGGACGCCAACACTGCACAAAGGGCCCCATTTTTGAGACAGGACGGCCCGCCCACCAGCTAGAGGCACTTCTAGTGCCGGCACCGCATTGGACGTGTCAGCTGCCCTTCGGCCCATGACCTCTGATGATTGGCTCAGCCCCCTGAGGAGGAACTGTAGGAGGTGTGGCCTTTGTTTGTAAGCATACTATCTAAAACAAAGATGATTATTCCTCTGTGTGTTTTGGAAAATTGTATTCCACAGCAATAGAAATAATTGCATTGGTCAGAAATCCATTTTTTACATCCGTCTAGGTGTTGATCCAGTGTCACTTTGTCTCCAAATTCGTTGTTTACCTGACTGAGAAAGAATAAAGATGTGTGTAAAATACATTAGACTGAATGTGCATGTGCTGCAGCTTATTAAGCTACTCGGAAAGCAGTTAAAGGGATGGTTCACCCACAAAAGAAGATATTTTGAAGAATGTTGGTAACCAAACAGTTGACGGTAGCCATTGACTTCCATAGTATGGAAATAAAAATACTGTAGAAGTCAATGGCTACAGTCAACTGTTTTACTTTTTTTTTTCATTCAGAGTAGTATTTATCTTGTGCAAGAAAATCTCAATTAAGGTAGCGATAGTAAAGGTGCACTCAGTAATTTTACTCTCATTATAAATGTTTTATACACAAAGTAGTGAAAAGTAATTTGGGAATTTTTTTTTTATAGATCTTGTAGACTGTAGCACTATTCAATTTATCTTTGTGTTATTGGACTCTTTTGCACACAAAATAAATAAATCTTGGCTAATTGCAAATAATTTATTTGTACAATTGGAAAATGTAACTGGAAATAATAGTTTTTGAGTAGTCCTGCATTCATGCAGTCTCGTCAGCTAGTGCAACTAGTGCACATTATACAGTATTATAGTGCACATTATAACAGTATTTAAACAGATAAAATAATAAAACTAGAAAACAGTGTGAATAACCAAAGTTCATAATCAAATATTTTGTAACAAAAGGTAACAAATGTCTTTTTGTATTTTAAAAAGCATTTATCTGTAACGTGGCTGACGAGACGTGAGACGTGCGGATCCATGTGCAAGCTTTATTCACAGGCGTGGTCAGAAACAGGCATGGGTCAGACAACGGCAAACAGGAATATGGTGGACAAGACACAAGAATAATCCTAGGGCTAGCGAAGGTCAACGAATGGCGAACAGAATCAAAAGGGCGAGACTAAAGGGATAAATCCAGGAAACCAGGCAAGGATCAGAAACCGAGAAAACAGACAAGGCAAGACTAGGCTAAGGCAGGGTAAACTAACGAGGGCTCTGTAGTGTAGCTATCAAATGATAAGCGCTAAACAATACTCGGCACCGGGAAGGGATCAGAGTGAGTGTTAAATAGTGAGTGAGTGATATGAAACAGCTGTGTGCAATCAGTGCTGTGTGAAATCAGTGCAATGAATGATGGGATATGTAGTCCGGGGTGATATGCAACAGTGTGTAGTGCGAGAGTCAATGAAAATGGAAAGGGTGACCTCTGATGGCTAGCAGACGGAAGTTCATGGACCGGATACGTAACATTATGGAGGATGAAACTTGCAGAAATTAAAAAGAAAGAAAGAAAGAAATGCAAATGATAAATAAATGATCCAGTAAATTTTCGAACAGTTCATGCATTTAATTTATTTATAAGTAATATATTTACTAATGTACTCATTAAATGAGTGATTTATTACATGTATTTATTTATATAATTATTTATACATATTTATGAAAATATGTATTTATTCCATCCTCGATAGATTATTGACTGAGTTCATATGACTGTAAAGCCGTGTGTGCAATATGTGGTAAAACCATGTTTTATTATGATACTGGTTGGAAAGAGCAGCTTGTTTCTTTTTTTTTTTTTTTTGTGAAAACATCTAAACTTTTGAATAGTAACCACAACTGAGTTACTTTCCAAACACATGTGTGTGTCTGTAATCAAGAATGCTAGTCAACAGGAGAAAGCAGAGAGACACTCTTAAAGTTCACGTCCATCTTATGCTCAGAGACTCCAATAACCCAACACGACTATTATGAATATTAATGAGGGTTAACAAAATCCCCCATATGTCACATGCAGCTGATTAAAGTCTCGCTCTGTCTCGCTGGTTCTCTTCCTGAAGGGCCTATTATTATCACTTTATTCCTCTGTAATCTCCTCCTCGTCTTAAGTGTTCGTCTTCCTTTCTTTTGCTCTTTGATAAGCTCTCTGTGTGTCTTGTAGTTCATATCTTGTTCTCTGTTAAGCTTCTTTTCTTTTATGAGACCGACTCAAAGCTGCCTGTCTCCTCTGACCCAAACACTGTGTGTGTGTTTCTTGCACAAATAATGAATTAAGTATTATTATTTTCAGCAAATGGTCAGAGAAAAGAGGTTCTTAGGTTCTTATTATAGTTAACAAAAAAATAAAAACCATAAAAAAAACTGTTTAGCTACTTGAAATAAAATAAACATTAACTGCAAAAATATATAAATAATTATTTAATTAAAAAAATGCATTTAAATAAATATTTCAGGTAGTTGTCAATGCAAGATTTCTTATTTTAATATAGTTTAACTTGAAGAACTAAAACTTTAATGGAAATAAATATTTAATAAAAAGTAGATAGATAGATAGATAGATAGATAGATAGACAGATGTCTAAATTTGGTTTAAAACCCTGATTTATGTGAATTCTTTATTTTCTATCACTAAATTTTATATAATTAAAAATAATGTTATATAAGTAAAAACATCAATAAATCAAAACATCAACAAATAAATAAAATTCTAAACACTGGTGTTAATGTTGTTTATTTATTTATTTATTTTCATTTTATTTTATTAGGCAACTATTTTTATTTAGTTTTATGCTGTCATCACATCATTTTGTTTTCTGCTATCATTAGTGCTAATATTGAGAACATGTAAGAGTGAAATAATATTTGTGGTTAACTGTACTTGAAGAAAATTTTCAGTTTTGTTCTACAACATTGTCAAGATCTAAAGTGTACATTTTAAAATGGTTGTGCTTTCAAAAATAAGTTTGATACATTGGAACTAACGGCATAAAAATTTGAATTTATATGCGTGATAAATCACTATTGAAATGAGGTGTTATTTAAGTTTTAGAAAAAATGTGAAAGTCTCTTGAAATAACATTAACCACAGACCTTATATGACTTATTTAAAAGTTACTCTTAAATCTAAAACCGCTTATGAAAAACCATTATATATTAGTTAGAAGAGGGACAGTCCAGAATAACCCTTATTAGACCGACATCTGATGCTTTTAAAATGACCTACTTTTCATGAAATTTAAATTTGTTACACTGAGGAAAATGGTGTAGAATCTACATTGAAACAATTTTAACTGAGAAATTGCTAGTAAATTTCACAAATAATTACAAAGAAAGCAAGTAACACATTTAAATTAAATTAAATTAAATGTGAAATTTTGAAGTAAAAATACAGATTTTTTTCCTTGTAAAATGTATTCCAATCATCTTTTGAATTTTTTAACACTGTAAATAATAGTTTATTAGTTTATTTAATTCTTTAGCATTGTGGAAAGGTCTGTGTGTGTGTGTGTGTGTGTGTATGTGAGAAGAGTTTTGTTGGTCAAAAATGCTAATGACCCCCATTAGCCTCTAACAGATGAACATTATCATACAACACTACTCATTTATTTCATGCACACACGCACACACACACACACACACACACACACACACAAACACACACACAACAGGCCTAATGAGGAACAAAGTGTCTGTGTTTAATTATGAGAGTAACTGAAGTTAGTTTGGAATATTTGACTGAACAATTGCAGTTCTTCCTGCGTCCCAGCCGTTACGTTCATTAGGATTGTTTTCATTTTAGCAAACTGTTAGAGACATCTGAAGCCAAATCTCCTCCTCTCGTCTTTCATGTCTGCCGTCTCTGAATCCTCTGGAGCGGGTGAGTGTGGGCTGCAGGACGGCTCTTTGCTCTGTGATGTGTTTAGAAGAATTTAGATTCATTGATCTGCTGGATTTGACACTTTTTGACCTTGGATTGGATCAGATAGCATTCATTAACAAAAAGTTCTGTATACCATATGGTATACCATGATATTACCATGTTTTTTGACATTTAACACATTATTACTTTGTACCATTGAGATACTGTGATATATGGTACCATAAGTTAATGGTAAATATGAAATATCACAATAATAAATAATTATGCTGCACTAATAATAAATCTCTAAATATCACTTTTTTTGAGGTGGACATACCAAAATAAATGACTAAAAATCCAACAGTTAATTTTGTCTAAAATTTAGATCTATTTTTTTTTTCATGAAAAGAAATTAGTATTTGACTAACAATGTATATTTTAAAAATATATTTAAGTTTTATTTAATATTATGTTTTTTTTTAAGAAATTTGTATTTGACTAACAGTGTATAATTTTAAAATATATTTGTTTGTGTAATATTATTTAATTTTTTATGAAAAGAAGTTAGTATTTGACTAACAGTGTATATTTTTAAATTTTGAAAAGGAAATCTAGATTTCCCATCATGCTTTGAAACAGACTTTATTAGGAGAGAAAATATTTATAATTAGGTGTTTTTTGTGTATGTTTTTTTGAACAAAATTAAATGGAGGAGATCTGTTAGTGTCTGTTAGTGTTTAATGCTATTGCCAATGGCTTCTGCAATAACTAATAGTTTTCTTGTAAAACATACCCCAATAATCTTTGTTTTATTTACAACTTCAAACATTTTTATTTAATTTTTTTTACAGTGTAGTTTAAGTTTTTATAGTGTACATCATCTGATACATCATTATGGTACGGCCACAGTGCTTTTCTGTAAGGGCACCTTACACACACACACACACACACACACACACACACACTCCTTGAGTATTGTGTTCTTGAGGTCTCTTGTTGATCTTTGCTACGGTTCATCAACACACAGCTAGATGTTCCACTTTCATCCCTCCATTTTCCAGCACACACATACGCGCGCTAACACACACACACACACACAATACACACACACTGAGAACCTCTGTTGATCTCTTCATCAGCTCCGTTCGAGCCCTGTACTCATCTTCTCTCTTCTCTTTCACACTCTGTTACTCCTGACTTTGATTTTGTCTTTCTGAGCCTCTCTTGTGTCATCATTCACACACACACACACACACACACACACGCACACACACACACACACTTTATCTAATACTCTCTGGCATCTGTGTGTGCTGTGATCGATATTCAGGAGCCGCAGATGCAGCGTCCCGTAACCACACTGCCCTGAAAACACACACA